TATATATACACACAAACCTTCATAGTAACTACAGCAGCACAATTTAAGAGCTACATAACATTCTCCTAATAAGGCTGCATCAAAAATAAGACTGCAGATATTTGTTCCCTGTTTTATGTCTCATTTGTGAATTTTGCAGACAAAATTCTGTATATCTGACCCACACGTATTGCAGCATAGTTTTTTGCTGATGTTGCGGTATTTTACAACACTTATCCAGCATATATTCCTTCATGTAACAGAGGCAAATCATGGCTTAAATTGTGGTGCCTACAGCCAAATGTTTTTCGTTTGCTTGTTTTAAAGCATGGCAAAGAATGCTACATACGCACAAGTGTGAGACACGTTTGACATTATGAGGTACTACATAAAAGCACAAAGGCATAAAATATTTATGAAAACTAAAATTAAGCCAGAGCAGAAACCACACTTATTTGGACCAACCTAAAATTTAGTCAAGGAAAGTCAGACTTGAGGCTTTTGACATGCATGCCTGTGCCTAGATCTTCTTTGAAGTAATCAGATGGGAGACCCCTCCCCTAAGTCCTAGCATCACATCGGAGAGAAAAAGAAGCATGGGATACCTGGCCCAACAAAGTCTCTTAAAGCTGGGCTTAGCTCCCTTGGTTAAAATTGCACATTTCCTTCAGCAATATATGAAAAATAAAACTGATGATATACTCAGAAACTCATGGAAGCAGAATATTTGAAATAATTCTACAGGATGCATCAGACGCTCTCAAAATGTGGCAAATAATAAAGAAGTAAGGTAACCAGAAACAAAAGTGCAGAAAGTCAAGCCTTGCACACATTTCTTGCAGTTATTTTCAATGTTACGCCCGACATTTCATTGCTTAACAGCAGCAATAGGGAAACTGTCTCTAGAGGCAGTCTAGTGCCACCTTAAACACTACAGCTCTAGTGAGTGAAAGCAGGGAAACTTTCTCCTCCACTTTTTAATTGAAAAACAAAAAAAAATGTTTCCCAAATGTACCTGAATAATCTGAGGGAAAAAAAAAACCAAAAACATGGACTGTCACTTCTTCTAAAAACAATACAACGAATGGAATTACTAAAGCAGCCGACACATAAAATAACACGAGGGCTGTCACCATCGAGTATTCCTGAGGCTCATTCTCCTAAGCATCACAGAGCAAGTGTCCTCAAGATATTTGGTGCCTGATTCCAACTGAATTTTAATTCTGGCTGTAGTCTCTGAATCTCATGGTAAGATAATACAGATACTCCTAGGTGTGGCTATGGGAAAGATGAGACCAAGCAGTAGGTGCTAAAGTCTGTTTTCCAGCAAGTTTTGATGTGCATTCACGTTTGTTTCACTTGCAGCACTCGTGTTGTAATTTGCCACAGCTTCTTTTTGGGAAAGACACTACCTGGAATTGTGTCTCTGATCAAAGTGCCTGCTCTTTATTTCGGGTATGAATACAGTGCAAACTGGTAATTCTTGCAGTGCACACTTGCCCTCTGGAACTACCCATGGAGAGCTTCCTGAGGGACTAAGGCTAATCTCTTAATCCTTAGAGACATACATAAATTAAAGAGAAAGAAACAAAAAAGCACGCAGTTTAACAAGGCTTTGTTCTAACTCTCTTGTGCTTCTTCCTTTGGCACTCTGCCATTCAGTAACACTAAGAGGTCGCCTTGCTGTCGGGCCTGTTTAGTAGAGCTGCACATGGTCAAACCCTAATGCTGGGATTCCCAGGCCAAGATCCATCGCCCATCCGCGGTGTGCAAGTCACTGAGCGGGAACTGCCAAACCTTTAACAAATTCCTCATGAACTGGCAGCAATGTTGATTCTCGTTTTGAACAACGAAGAGCAAACCCTGGACATCCTAGTGCTTGAATAGGTGCAATGGTGCTCACTTAAAAAAAAGATGGGACAGAAGAGGATTAAGAAGGGTCTTAACTCAGCATTTGGTCTAGATAAGAAGTAGAAAAATACAAGACTACACAAATCAGGATTGGAGAAATGCTGTTCCTTTGTATTCTTCCTTGACTAGAAAACTGCTAAAATCATCACTGTGGACAAAGCCTTAAACTCTAACTGACTTGTTTCTCCACTGTGCATTGAGGCTAAGGTACATCTGCAACTCCACAACAGATTTTGCTTTAGCATTCAGAAACATGGAAGTTAAGAACATTAAAGAGGGCAAGGATTTAGTGGGGGAGGGATCTGAGTAACTGACTGAGACATGAACACTCATTTGAGCTTTAACTGGTTAAGAAAATCCAAAGAGTGTCTTGGGGAAAAAAAACCAATGGCAACTTCTACCACAACAGGGCTACACACTAGAAAAGCTGGGGCTTGAGTGCACATCTCACTTACCTGAGAACTGCCTTCAGTGACCCCTGTTCTCCTGTGCATTCAAGGGCACAGGGGGCTTCTTTCGTCCCACTGAGACCCTTCCTGCCAAGCTAGCACACTCCATAGCCCCAAATGAGAAGATCTGGCGACAGATACCCATTAAAACTGCCCACAGTTTTAAGGCTTTAAATAGGCCATTTCTTTTTCAATTAAAAAGATGATGAGAACAACTGTTTCCAAAATATAACTAACTCCCTTTCCATCTTCTAAAACTTGGGATCGTTTTAAAGTTTTATTTATTGATCTTTCCTTTTTTTAATTAAAAAATAGGCTATATTAAGAAATTGAGTCCAATTAATTAATTTTATAGCCTTAAAATAACCAATTAGCAGCATTAAAAAGTGTCTGTAAATACCACTGACTTCACTTGCCACCAACTGTATAATTCCAAATGTACCAAAATTATAGTCTAGGATAACAAATGGAAGAATGCTAATTGAGATATCCTCTTTCCTATATACTAATGAAGTGAGTCACTGGATTCACCGTTGTAGCATCTGACTTCTTAAAAGTTGGATCAAAAAAAGGTATTAGAGACATTTAAAAAAAGGATGTGACAGGAGCTTAAAAATCCACCTTATTAGATCCTCTGTTGAGTTCCATTTAACTTTACGGGATACTGGCTCTAAACTTCTTGTTTGAGACATAACATTGTAAAGGGAAGGCAAACTACACTCGTCTGTATCATTCCTTTTACCCTAATTAAGTGCTATAAATTGTATTATGCTTCAACAAGCTTTTTTTTTTGCCTCAAGATAAGGTAGATAGGCTGCCTGACAAGATATCACTTTATACAGACACATTTTCCATAAATCTTCATTGAGAATGTCTCCACTGTCCATTATTAATTTCATACAGATACTCATGAAGATCTAAAACATCATAATGAATTGCTGTTTTATTTGTGTACTCCATCTGTCACCCTAATTTCCACAGGAATTCCACTGGAATAAGTGATGCTGTAAATACTGGCATCATATTGTCACTTCTTTCTTTAAAATCCTTTGAGGTGTCAGACTACATGGAGTAATATATTCAAAAGGGTTGTAATAGCTGAGCTTTTGACAGAGAAATCTTAGCATGTATGAACACACTGTGCTAATAACATATGAGCTAACTTTACCTACCAAAAATGCTCCAAAAGCTTTCTACTAACAAATTAAGAGTTGTGTCTAAGAAAACAGAAAAATAAGAATTTTCTCAAAGAGTTTCATCTTTAGATGACTTAAAGTCTAGAAAGAGAAAATATCAACTTAGGTCAACCCCAACAATTGCTATTTCTTGTCATAGCAGGAGTATATCTGAACTACAATGTTGTATTTGATCACCAAAGTTTGATTTCAAATAGGTTTTAATTAGGTTTGTGCCTAAATTCTCGTGCTAAAAGTGATTTAATTTGCAGTGCTGAAGCGCTGCATTGGCCATGTGCCTTCACAACTTCAGATTGTCTCAGCATTTCTGGGTATTGTTTTTATAAGCATGCCTGTGTGTATGTATATGTATTATTATGACTACTTCTCCCTTGCCAGTGCTGCATGCAATGATGGGGAAAGGAGTAATCTTTCTTGGCAGGAACAATAAAAGGTGGGTTTAAATAAAAAGCAACAGAACATTCCAATTGTTCTCTACATTGTCACACGAGCCAGTTCTCCGAACACTAACTCTTAGGGTGCAGGGCCCTGGGAAGGTGCCTGTGCCATCTGAAGGAGCCTCTTCTCACCTTTAATCGAAGAATGTCAAGTCTATTTTTACTGTCATTTGGCTCTCCCCCTGAACCCACGCACGCAGCAAAGCTCAGCCCAGCATGACCCTGGTCCTAATTCTCCCCCTTTCAGCCACATCCCCTCAGTCCCTGGCTGGGATGCAAAGTTGAAGGGAACATCTCCAGCTCCCGGGTGCTCCATCCGGGCCAGGCCAGGGGTGGGAGCAGCAGGGACCCTCAGTGCCTCACACGGGTCCCTAGGGAGCAGCTCCGGGGGGATGCAGGAGGAACCTGCAGAGCTCGGGCTCCGGCACGGGGGCTCTGCTCTAGTTCAGCACAGCGGGCACGGGGAGATAGAGGCACGGGCCATGCCCGCACCGCCAGCTCCTCTGAATACGCTGTCGCTCTGCATTAATAAATAACGGCATGCAGCTTTTCTTACTGTGATATGGCTTTACCCAGTCACATGCTTCCCATTACCTGAGGTGAAATCATGGAAGCGCACGCTGCCAGTTTCACAAAAACCTTTTAAAAACGCGGCAAAACTCAGCACATCGCTTTTCCAAAGCGGTGCCCCCCACTCCAGTGCGGGGGCCGGAGCCTGGGGGCGGAGGCGGGCCGGCCTTTGGGGACGGGGGGCTAGAGGGCCGGACGGCGGGGCGGCAGTTCAGCCTGCGTGTCGCCGCCGCTCCGCAGGCCGGCAGCGCGCAGCAAGGGCGCCGCAGACCCCGAGTCCCCGCGGAAGGGAGGAGGAGCCCGCGCCGCCCGCACCCGCGCGGCCCGGCGCGTGCCTTACACGCACCGCGAGCCCGCCGCGCGGTGCCCCGGGGCCAGCCCCGCTACGCGCACCCGCCACAGCGCCCCGCCGCCGCCGCCGCCGCCGCCGCGCGGCCCCTCGGCGGGGCCCGACTCACCAGGCGAGGCTGCGGACACGTGTGCTCCAGCTCCTCCATGGCCTCGCAGCGCCGCTCATCAGAGGGGGATTTCGGGATACCTGCGTCTGACTCAGCATCGGTGGCGGGCACTGGCATGGCCGGCCGCTGCCGGGGCCGCTCCCGCTGCCG